TGCAGGCTGGGCGGGCTGCTTTCCGGGTGTTTGGCTCTGAGTACATCCCTAACAGTTGATCCATCAATCTTCTCATCCAGGTGGAGGAGCCCCGTGGCTGCCGAACCGTCCAACTCACGTACTGCGGCTGACAGTTTTCCATTGTTGACCAAAGATGCAAATTTCTTGGCCTGGCTCTCATTCTGGCTGCCTGGATGTGGTCGGGTGTGATAGTCTTCCAACTGCTGCTGGATGGTGTGGCACTCGTGGAGCAAGCTGGCTAAGTCTCCATTGTTCCAGGAGTTGAGGCGGCGTTGCAGAATAGAGGATAGCGAGATCGGTGTTGGAGTATGGGGCTTCTGCAAGAGAAGCTGCTGAAACACCATGGCTACTTTCATAGCCAGTCCATCATACGTCCCAGCGTTGCCAAAACATGATAAATAGCGGCTCAGTTGTGACACAAATGCCTTTCCGACAGACCCTCGTGGTGGGCTGAAGGCGTTAGGACGGAAGTGAACTGCCTCATCGTAAGCTTCTGTGATGGCTGCCTCTGAAGCAGCCTCCTCCAGATCTCCAAGTCTGAAACCAACTTTCCTCGAGGTAGTGTAATCAGGTAGGTCGTACTGTGTAAAGGGAGGAATCTCAGAGTCTTGAGATGCCGGTTCGTGTACATCCTCTGTGGGTAAGCTTAGGGCAATTTCCGCTAGTAATCGAGCATCCTCTTGGAGCGAAGAGTCAGTGTCACTGTCACTGCCTATTTCACAGGTTTCAGGTGCGCATGCAGCAGGGACACACGGCGGGTTCCGGCAGTCATTCAACAGTGCTGTTGTGAGTGCAGCTGCATGAGCCGCGGTGATCTCGTCCGCGTTCTGCTCGACAGCCATTTTGGCCGATCCGCGAGTTTCTTGCGGCTGTTGATCCGTGACATTTACCGTATCATCTGTACGTCCGTTGGTTCCCGTAGCAGCTTCAAAACTGCTACCTGTACGAGCCTCCCCAACTGTCGACTGGGAGCTGGGTGTTGGGGTTCGATTTCGGCAATGATCCTTCGCCGAAGGATAGCAGTTTGTGCAAAGGCGGCCAGCCTTGTTGCATTCACACCTGACACAGGTGGATTTGCCGTTGCAGCGGCAACATCGTCCACTCTGCATCATGAGGCACGTTTGACAGGCACAAGGCCGCTAGCATAAACTACCAAAAAGCCGTCATTGACTGGAGCTACAAAAATCCCAACCGTAAGCTACGAGTGTTTTTCAAAGTGCTCTTTATAACCGAAGTCCCATTTGAATGTATGTGGACCCTAGGCCTTGACGGATTATGCTAGCATCATTTTTCGCATAATTCCTACCAAAATCGAATAATTGCATAATTCGAGGCAAATTGCATACGAATCGCATAAAATTGGAATAATCCGCCTGTTCGCATCAAATTCCATTAAGTTGTACGTTGTACGTGTTCTACAAGTACAAGTACATATTATGTAGATGCACCAGGGCGTCGTAGGTTTACGACTCCCTTGATAACATGTCCAGTCCACTACAGTCAGTGACGGCAAGAGTACATAAATACTCTTGGTGACGGTCGTAGCTAGGTCGGACGGTGCGTTCACCCCGTTGAACTTTTGCTAATAGTACTACAGTACAACACCCTCTACAAAAAAGCTCTTGCGCTAGTCGTCATGCATGTTTTTTTGCGAAACCAAGTTGGCTAGTGCTATGGTGTTTCGTCGCAAATGTGCAGCATAATGCGGCATAATATGATAACTGCATAATTCTGCAATTTTTTCAGCAATGCGAAAAACATAATTTCACGAAAATATTAGCATAATCCGTCAAGGCCTAGTGGACCCATATTTTGTATAGTATGACACGCATATCAAAAATCAAGCTCTTTTCTTGCTCTATGTCAATGTGTACTTTATTTTCATATTGCAGTTGAAAGGAACTAAAAATTCAATATGCAAGGGAAATAAATTGAAAAATATGCCTTTTTGAGCCATCTACCATGATCTACAGGGCCAGGGCCTAGGGACAATGATGTACATGTATGCAGTCGACCTCCGGCTACGCGGGTCTAGAAGGCGCCTGACAGGCCTGTCGACGCAGGATGGTGCTGGGGTAGGCATCGGCCATTGAAAACTGAATTCCGTCCGTTTTACGTGGAATTTCTTGGAGTTTCCCAATGTATTGTACTTGAATAAAATTCTATTTTAACTTTCATGGTATCTCAATTTTTTTTTCACGTCTACATGACTTTATTTTGCCCGTAAAAGAGGCCGTTACCCCGTAAAAAAAAAAAAAAATGTACATGTATGATGATTACTGTTCAATCATGTACAACTACATGTACATGTACATGTACATGTAAATGCATGATAGAATCCAACACTGGTAAACCAGCATTAGATAAACCTTGTAGTTCACGCAATTGTTAGATTGACAGCATGAAACAAGGTGGAGGACACTCTGTGTTCGAAAACAGTGACCTTACTACAACCTTCCGCGGTTGGCAGAGCCCCGGTCCCTGCGGTACCCATAATTATTATGGTTCAAATGGTCCGCAGGGACCGGGGCTCTGCCAAGTGCCAACCGCGGAAGGTTGTAGTAAGGTACATGTAACTGTTTTCGAACACAGTGTCCTCCACCTTGTTTCATGCTGTCAATCTAACAATGTAGATCTACATGCATGTAGGTGTGCTGGTAAATCCAACACTTTTGAAGCAAAATAAAAAAGGAAGAAAAAGCCCCCCCCCCCCATTGGCTGCATTTTCTTTTCTTTATCCATCACCATAGTATGTTCTGGTACTTCTACATGCACAGGTACATGTACATGTACCTGTGCATGTACATGTACTTGACTGACAGGTACTTGAAATAGCTGTCAAAAGCCCAGAAAGTCGTTATTCAAGCAGTGAATATGGCCTCGGGGCACTAAAAGCATGTCGCTATTCGCGAATTGTCGTTATTCAGATAGTCGTTATATCCGAAGTTGAATGTGTGCAGTTAGATGGGACTTTGCTCCGGGCATGGAAATTCGGTGGTTATTCGCAAATTGTCGTTATATCCGCAGTCGTCATTGGCGAAGTTAAAGGGGAAGTTAAGGCAAAAATTAAAATTTCACCAGTTGTAGTCTTCGGGGTGCTGAGTCGAATGGTCTTGGTCCGAGGAAGCTGAGACGCTCCCTTCCTACTTGAATCCCAATCGAACTCGCGCACTTCCACTGAAACTGGGTGACTGCGCCCTACTAGATGGGGATTTGTATGCAAAATGTCACTAAAAGCGCCATTTCGTTCTTATAAAAGCATGGATGACCGCGATTGGCCCATATGTTGTAGTCTTTTGGACGCTGAGTCGACTGGTTTTGGTCCGAAAAGGCTGCGATGCAGCGTTCCTCCTTTATTCCCAATCGAACATGGTTGAACAAGCGGTCACGTGCTCCTGGGTGCCCAAATCACCTGGTCACCACGCCAGCAGGCGACAACTTTCACACCAAGGTTCAACTCGAGTGACAGGACTGCACCCAAAAAAGGTCAAACAAGCTAGTAAGTTGTACCCTGCAGGCACGGTGACCAGGTGACTGGCGTACGCAGGAGCACGTGACCGCTTGTTCAACCATGTTCGATTGGGAATAAAGGAGGAACGCTGCATCGCAGCCTTTTCGGACCAAAACCAATCGACTCAGCGTCCAAAAGGCTACAACATATGGGCCAATCGCGGTCATCCGTGCTTTTATAAGAACGAAATGGCGCTTTTAGTGACATTTTGCATACAAATCCCCATCTAGTAGGGCGCAGTCACCCAGTTTCGGTGGAAGTGCGCGAGTTCGATTGGGATTCAAGTAGGAAGGGAGCGTCTCAGCTTCCTCGGACCACGACCATTCGACTCAGCACCCCGAAGACTACAACTGGTGAAATTTTAATTTTTGCCTTAAAGGGGAAGTATACCCTAAAATCAAATTTTCACCAGTTGTAGTCTTCTGGGTGCTGAGTCGAATGGTCTTGGTCCGAGAAAGCTGCGACGCTCCCTTCCTACTTGAATCCCAATCGAACTCGCGCACTTCCACCGAAACTGGGTGACTGCGCCCTACTAGATGGGGATTTGTATGCAAAATGTCACTAAAAGCGCCATTTCGTTCTTATAAAAGCACGGATGACCGCGATTGGCCCATATGTTGTTGTCTTTTGGACGCTGAGTCGACTGGTTTTGGTCCGAAAAGGCTGCGATGCAGCGTTCCTCCTTTATTCCCAATCGAACATGGTTGAACAAGCGGTCACGTGCTCCTGGGTGCCCAAATCACCTGGTCACCGCGCCAGCAGGCGAGAACTTTCACACCAAGGTTCAACTCGAGTTCAACTCGAGTGACAGGACTGCACCCAAAAAAGGTCAAACAGGCTAGTAAGTTGTACCCTGCAGGCACGGTGACCAGCTGACTGGTGTACGCAGGAGCACGTGACCGCTTGTTCAACCATGTTCGATTGGGAATAAAGGAGGAACGCTGCATCGCAGCCTTTTCGAACCAAAACCAGTCGACTCAGCGTCCAAAAGACTACAACATATGGGCCAATCGCGGTCATCCGTGCTTTTATAAGAACGAAATGGCGCTTTTAGTGACATTTTGCATACAAATCCCCATCTAGTAGGGCGCAGTCACCCAGTTTCGGTGGAAGTGCGCGAGTTCGATTGGGATTCAAGTAGGAAGGGAGCGTCTCAGCTTCCTCGGACCAAGACCATTCGACTCAGCACCCCGAAGACTACAACTGGTGAAAATTTGATTTTAGGGTATACTTCCCCTTTAACTTCCCCTTTAACTAGTTGACTGTATGTGCTCTCTTGCCAGTCTTGGTTATGCGGACTGGGTCCGATCCTAAAATTTAGTAAAAAGCTGTTTTTATGAACTGTTTTATGAACTGTTTTTATTGGATAGGATGATTATGTTGAATAAACGAGGTTTGTGTCAATGGGAGATTGACTTGGAGTTTTTACGAGTTGATTCTAATGTATAATAATAATGCTGGAGCTCGAACGCATAGTTTCACAGAAAACCTTCCACCATGTTCCACAGCTCGCCAAGCTAGACAAGAGGACTTGCACCGCAAACAAAAAAATATCCTCGCTGTAAGTTAGTTCAGTGTATCCCTGATGTGAGTTGTGCTGCTTGGAGTAGGGAGCTCTTTGAACAGACTCAACAGTCGACGGACGCGAGAGCAGGCTTCGGATCGTGGCGGGTATGGAGGAGGAAAAACCTGGGACGGCCTTGTCGCCCTACGATCGAACGGGTAGTCATCGAATGGAGACGGACTCCCCGCCAGTATACAGCGAGCATCCCTCGGCTCCCCCGATGCCGGGAGCAGCTGGGTGGCGGCACGATGGCGTAGTGTCTGGCGGTTCGGCAGCAGCCCAGCCTCCGCCAGTCTACACGTCGCTGGCCTCGCAAACGCCTGGTGCAGCGGGTCGCGCGGCCGTGCTCATGCAGAGCGGCGAATCAGCTGGTGGTATGGCCGGCGACAGCAGCAATGCAAGTCGCGACGACTACAGGTCGCTACTGCGTGCGTGCGCTGCGGAGTTCATCGGAACACTCGTTCTTGCTTTGATATCCATAACGGGAACGTGTGGTTTTGGCGCATCAGAAACCCTGACTGGCAATAACGCCCCAGTAATATTGGGTTTGATTCTCGGCCTGACGTATTTCCTGCTGATTTGTATGACCTCATCGGCAAGGTACGTAGATCTACGGATAGAGCGAAGCCATGATTCATGAACCTCTTTTTTGATTTCTGGAAGTTGATATCATATCCCACGAGGTACGTGACTACTCCAAGCACACTGCCCTGGGCCATGGGGGTATTGCTGCATGACTGAGTGAGCAAGTTTGTCTGAACAATTACCGCGCCTGCAATGCTACGTAATACCGCATACCACGATTCAGAGTGAGGGACGCTATCAGTATTATCAAGAGTACATAATCCCCCAGAGTGGGCAACAGGGATGCGGTTGGGGGCCGGGGTAATCCGTGATCTACATGTACGTCATTTTTTGGGTCGGACTTGCGTCATTCCATCGACGCGGTGCACCGTGGTCCACACTTCCCCTACTCAATGATGTCATACTATGACGTGCAACACGGATTTCGCCGTGCCAGATCTGATAAGTGAAGTTGCGCACTCTGGGGGAGTATGGACTCTTGGTAGAATTAAAGCTATGTGGACCCTGGGCCCTGGCTAGTGCCAGACGTTACTGAAGTAACGTCTTTTGCATGGCTACGGGAATAATTATGCTGAGTAGGTCCCTCAATGTGGAAAGATGATGGTGTGATTTTCTAGATCAGCAGTGGACTAGTGGAGTCTCAGTAGGCAGGGGCCAGTCCAGTCACTACCGGTGACTGTGTTACCATGGTTACCCGACAGTGATGCCCCCCCCCAAAGTGTGTGTGTGTGTGTGTATCTGTGTGTGTGTGTGTGTGTGTGTGTGTGTGTGTGTGTGTGTGTGTGTGTGTGTGTGTGCTTCTAATCAAGTGAGTACGATACATTATCAGTTGACTGGGTTCTAGCCAGGTCAAAATAGTAGCGGGGGGGGGGGGATGGGGCATGTTATCCCACAACACATTTTTCCCTTTTCCAAAATCGTCTTGCCATGCAAAATGTAACGTACAGGGCAAACCCCCGGCTTCACCCCAGACAAATGAGCCTTTATGAACCCTCTACAATGATCATCGACTGCATTTTCCGTTCAATGGCGTGAAAAACCCCAAAACATCGAAAAATGAATAGGGTCAGTCGGGGAAGTGAACTGCCTAAAAAGAGATAATGCCAACCCACCGGGACTCGAGACAAGCAAGGTTCCGGGTTCGAGTCCTGGTGGGGTGGGCATTGTTTTCTCCTTTTAGGCTGTTTACTTCCCCGTCTGATCCTTTCAAATTTGATGTTCCCCCAGTCATTTCAAAATGAGTAGGGGGCACCACATTTTCACAGGGGGGGGGGGGGGGCTCAATCAGAAAGGAGGGCGCTGTCCCCCCCCCCTCCTTTGGCACCACTTTTTTACAGGGGGGGGGGGGGCTTAATCAGAGAAGGAAGGCGCTGCTTCTCCCCCCCCCCCTCCTCCTCCTTTGGCACCACTTTTTTACAGGGGAGAGGGGGGGGGCTCAATCAGAGAAGGAGGGTGCTGCCTCTCCTCCCCCCCCCCCCCCCCAGAAAGGTGTCCTTATTCGCGAAGTGTCCTTATATCCGAAGTCTCACTATATGTATACGAGTAGAATGGACTTTGCTCTGGGTATGGAAATTCTGTCGTTATTCGCGAATTGTCGTTATATCCGCAGTCGCCTTTTAGTGAAGTTGACTGTACATATAAAATAGCTGCCATAAGCGAATTGGCCAACTCAACAGCACATGATGACATCACTCACATAACCAGCTCAACAGCACATGATGACATCACTCACATAACCAGCTCAACAGCACATGGTGACATCACTCACACACCCTCAACACTACACAAACTAAGTACGCCACTTCATAAAGTAAACTGTTTTATTTCTATTTGTTGTGTGATTGTTTCTTGCTTTGGCTTGTGTTTCCCTTTCCCGTCGTTGCTGCTGGTGCTATTGGTGCTGCTGTTGCTGCTACTGCTGCTGTTGCTGCTGCTGCTACCACTGCTACTGTTGCTGCTACTGCTGCTGCTGTGTGACTGTTGTCTGTATGCTTATGTGCAGTGGAGGACATTTAAACCCAGCGATGTCCCTTGGAGTGTGGCTGGCTGGAAGCATGAACGTGCTAAGATTTCGTCGATTCATACTCTACGCGTTCTGTCAGTTCGTGGGAGCAACGATTGGAGCAGCTATGGCTCTGGTAAGGAGAAATGGGGCTACGAAGCAGATAACACTAATCTGGGACGGAAAGTTGGTCGGCGGGGGGGGGGGGGGAAGTTAGGTTGTGGATTAAAATGGATGAGGGGTTGTCCGAAATTTTCGAAAAATTAAAAAATCAGTCCTCAGGCAAAGAGGGTGGTGGGTAGTTAAGTGCGCTGGCGGAATTTAATTTTTTGATTTTTCGTACCTTTTTTCTTTTTTCATATACTTGTTGCACTGTCTGTACTGACTGTACTGACTGTACTGACTGTACTGTACTGTACTGTCTGTACTGACTGTACTGACTGTACTGACTGTACTGACTGTACTGACTGTACTGTAGGATGGCAAACACCAGTACGATGGACATGTGGTTGTAGGACGTGCATGGCCGTCGGTAGACCTACTGCTAAGTACTTGACACAGGTGCAATCAGTGAGGAGTTCCTATTTCCGTGCTGAGCGTTGGGAAAAAAATTCCAAAAAATAAAAAAAAATCATGGGAAAATTGGGGGTGGGTCGGTGGGTCAGAGACAATTTTGCACGAGGATGGATTTTTTAATTTTTCGATAATTACGGACTACCCTTAGAAAGAGAAATGTGTGTGTGGGGGGGGGGGAGGGGTCTTGTCGGTTTCTGTGAAGTATGCCTATTAAACCAGCACCTGGCAGGGAGCAGAGTCAAGGAAACATCAACGTTCTCTGTGTTCTGGTTGTACAAAGAATGTGTCTGAACAGCAGCACTCTGCATGCAATCATTGTCTGCTTTTATGTATTTTGTCATTATCTTGTCGGCCATTGGCTAGGATATGAAAGGCTTCCTTTAAAACTCCTACCACTTGTGCTCCATGCTTGTTGTGTATGGCTTTCCTTCTTCTTGCCACTGCTGTATACCAGGGCCTGAACAACAAGGATCTTCTCTACGAGATGCGCTACACCACCAGTGTGTTCAGTCGCCACTACCAGAAAGGCCAGGTGTTCGGCATCGAGATGTTTCTCGTGTTCGTCCTCGTGACCACCTTCCTGGTGAACATGATTGACGACAACGGCTTCAAGGACATTGCCCCGCTGAGCGTCGGCATGGTAGTTGCACTCGGCACCATGGCAACGTGAGTTTCTACGCAGCCTCTTGCTGCCTTTTAGCAACCCTCCCCAATGTGCAATCGAAATGGCTTGAATATGATGACATCATCGTCAAAACAATGCGGGAAAGTACCGTATTTTCCGGAGTATTAGCCGCACTGGAGTATATGCCACACACAGATTTAGTCACGAAATGCAGGGGTCTACCTTGTTTATCTTGTTTATCGGGGGTGAATTTGACCATCGTAGTATAACCCGGACCAGGTTTTTCTCGTGGAATTTCAAGTGTTTGGAGTAGAATGCGGTTTATATTCCGTAAAACATGGCAATGACTTCTGGGTCAAAGTAGAATAGACCAATCCCGAAAAGATTGTCTGGGTTCGAAAGGGGGCATGTCACCTGAGAGTAGTCTATACTGTACAACACATACATGGCACTACCTGATCAGCATGCGACACAGGACGTGTTTGATAGTTCGCGTGTGAATGCGGGGGTAAGTACGCGGTTTTCTCGTTAGTTGCATGCAAGAGAGACGATGCGACAGAAAGCAAAGCCCTTTGTAGTTTTCTCTCTCGCACTGGTAATGGTCTGCTGTTGGAGTTGAAATGCTAAGACATAATCCTTGTTTCGCTCTTCTGTGCAGTGTGAAGAGGTCAACGAACATGTAGAGCTCACTTTGATGAAGTAGGCAAGTCTGTGAGCGCTGTGGCTCAAAGCGATAGGCCCTAAATCTTACTAGATATTTCGAGTGTTTGTTGCGAGCGTTTCGTCTTCGATGTGTCCTGCCTCTTTCCTGGCAGGTGCCCTCCTATAGGACCAACCACAAAGTGACTGTACTCATCTGCAGCCGATCAATGTTATATTGCACAAGAAGATAGCGTTTTCGCCAAGCCAGTGCCCCGCCAAAGACCATCGCTGTGTCACACCGTCGGAATGAGTTCATGATGAGAAACATCATTCGCGCGAACGTGATGAAGAACTATTTCGAAAGATAACATAGTCTTTACCCCCGGGACGACAACTATGCGCACGTCCAGCAAGGGGAGAATGTCACCAGCGACATCAACGAAGACGACGGCAGTATT